GGAAGAATTCGATGCAGAAAAATGAGAGAAAACCTCTCTATTTATAGCCAACAAAGGGTACAGGTCACAACCCTTTGGAAAGAAGACAACCTTTCAGAAAGAAGACAACCTTTCAGAAAGGTCACAACACTTTGGAAAAGGCATAACCTTTCAAACGGTCACAATCCTTTAGAAAGGACACAACCTTTCATAAAGTTCACAACCCTTCGGCATAGTCACAACTCTTCAGGAGAGTCACAACCCTTCATTTCTTGTTCACACCTTTAAAACCCAACAATATATTCTACGGTTCAACAGAGTTTCACATTGGTTTCCAAATGTGGCTAAGCTCATACTGGTCAGTTGATATTGAGAACGATTAATCACTACTATCAACCATTATACCATAAGATACTAGCCACAACCACCATCATCACTCAACACCATCCCAAATTGACACACATAATCACCATCGTTAATCATCACCAACACCAATTGTTATATAAAAAAAAATAAAAATATTTCATTAATATAATCTTAGATAAATTTCGTATTTTTTTAACTTTATATTTATTATTTTTTAATAAAAATAAATTCTATACATTCAGATATTGAGAAAACAAACAATATTCACTATTTAGTATTCAGATCTTAATGCAATATCTTAATATTTAGATGTATATTCAGATTGAAACATCTAAATATTAATGTACATCTTAATATTTATAATTAGATTCAGAGGTCTTAATCTTAATAAAAAAAACGATGCCTTAATCACATCTACAAAAAAATACATTTCTTATATAAGGTTAATTTTGTTTATATGTATATCAAATATGTTGATGTAAACATAAGTTTTGAGCACACATGTTCATGCCATCACACAAATTTAATGCACATCACGATCTTAAACGTGGTAATATTATTGGAATATGTTGCAGAGAAGCGTAATTATCGATCATACATAGATGAGTGAAAGTGTGAACTGAAATCGATTTATACCTCCGTGCCCACTTTAAGCACACATGTTCATGCTATCACATAAATTTAATGCACATCAAGATCTTAAGCATGATAATTTTACTAGAATACTTTGCAGAGAACATACCTGATGCATAAGCATTATCATGCATAGACGTGTGGAAGCATTTAATTGAAAATTGATTTCTACCTCTGTGTCCTAACCTTAGGCTACTAGTAGCGCTGCTAGTGATGAAATTGTGCATATAATATGTGATAACCCTAGTGAATGGGGGGATCAATTTATAGAGGTTGAGATTTAATCATGTACGTCCATCATGTAATCAATCTAACAGACGAGATTTATTCTAGGTTTATATTAATTCAGTCACACATAAAATAATAAAAAGTCTAATAGTCTCTCACTTGTCTCAAAGACCACATAACACTAATATTTACTGACATATTCATTAATTGCGGATAAACGACAATTCTTCTATAATGACAATCACACATACCATGATATGACAAATTAAACACTAATGTGAGTTATGACAGTTATACATAATTTCTGCTATATATTTCTTTTCCTATACTTCAATGTTAGCAACTTAGCATGCCAAGTACATAATTAATTAAATATTTAAAATTATAGTTTGTTATTATGTCTCATTGAGGCTTATCTTATAATATTTCAAAACAACAATGTGCACATTTCTTATGAGAAATAGAAATTCATTAATGCATATTAGAAATACATACTTGAGCTCTAAGTGTCAAAACATCATAACCACATCAATCATAAATACAAACATGATATCATTGCAGTGGACACCTTTTTGTTTCTATATCTTCTCTTTGATGACAAATAACTATTTAGTTCATAAATTTGATATCTTTAGATTATTAGTCAAATACTACAGAGTAGCCTATAAGGAGTACCCAAAACATCATTTCAAATATCGAAATAAGATGCAAGACAATAATCTATATTGCTTATTAAGAGGTGTTTTTACTCCATTACAAAGGAATAAAGAAAAAAATAATACCGAAAAGTCAAACAATTATTCCCTGCAAGAAAATATAAGCATTAGAAAAATATACTATATAATGTATCATTGATACAAAGAATATAAGCAAACAACTAAAATATTACTTGGACATAAGCTTAAATAAATAGAGAGGGTCAAAGCAATTGAAGTCCTTGAAGGCAGTTTTAAAAATAATGGAGAAGAAAAAAGACTCCGAGTCTTCCAATCACATATTTTCTTATTATATAGAGTTTAAAATAACTTTCTATATAACTTATCATCAATGACAAAATAAATAAGAGATTACAAATACCTCAATATATTGCAAGAATGTATGTTTACCCACTTAATGCTATAAGTAATAAATATTTTTTTAATGTCAATATACATAGTACATAACCAAAATAATATTAGTAGCTCCATAAATTTATTAAAATGTATGATATCATGATTTGGCTATTATCCGAATGAAATTAAAGAGTAGACTGTTGGACATCTTTTGCCATAATTAGTGGGCATGCCATTTTGTTTCCGCTTATTAATTGATGAGGTAGTTAATTAGGATATATAAAATCAAAATTACTTTTAATGCATTATTCATCGATTAACGAAGAATGTCATCAAGATACAATTAGATGAATTTGGTTTATATAGCAAAAATATTCAGTTAACAAAAAAAGATTTATTATTTTGGGGTAAGGGTATATTTGCAATCCAACTTTTTTATATAGTATATATGATGATGATAAAAAAAATAAAATTGTTTTCAACTATTGGCTGTTCCCATACTGGACTTATTGTTTGAGAACCATAATCTTCAAAACAGGGTGAAATAGTAGCATTTCCCATTTCGTAAAACCACCAAGTATTAGTAGCGCGCTTAACGAAATAGACACAGTTGCTTCTGCAGCCCAATTGACTTGCATTAACGAAGCGGGATCCACTTTTTGGGAATATGAGTCGAAGCAATAATAAGAATATTTCTAATAGAACATCTTTTACAATCCCTACAGAGATGGTTCACTAATAAACCAAGGGACAAGTCTCAAGGATCAACGAGCTCACTTGGGTTGGGCTTATAAGCAGTTTTAAATGGGCTCAAAATATAATCGAGTATAAATGTCAAGAAATAGACAATTGACGTTTCTGTATTTAAAGTTTTTAAAAAAAACAATCATTCTATCATATACAGCTCCTTTTTTATATCCCAACAGAAAATTTTGAGGAAATACAAACTTATCTATACATCTGTGAAAATACCCCCAACAAAAGCAAAGGACTACTTTACATGGGTCAAGAAGCTGTATCAATGGTTTGATATCTGCATTTCTGATATCTCATTTTGAACGAACGCCTAGTTTTACCATATCAGCTAATTACACATCAAGTTTCCTTTGTACCAACTTCAACTTACAAGCCACTCAGAATATTAGGTTCTTCGGGAGAAGATGATTCAACTAATTCTGGGACTTGATCGAGCAAGCGATTCATTGTGTCAGGAAACTCACCCTTGGCCCGGTTAGTCTTACCCCCAACAACCACTGATGTTCCATCTTGCAAGGCCCATAGCTTTTGAAAAAGTTACAATACACATAAAAACATGTAAAAACAATCAGATTTCCAAAATTTGGTAGCTCAAAGTTGTTCATGGTTTGGCAAGAATATTTACCTGTGTATGAGATAAATAACTAATGCAAGTTGTAAGCATGAGAGCACCAAAACCAGCATATACAACAGGTACTCCTGGATCAGTCTGCATCAAATCATGGTTCACGATTCACGAATAAGGGAAAACGCAAGCAAAATATGAAATAATTGTTGCTGAATGAGGATTCATCGCGCTTACCTTTAAGTCAAGGCCACTACTCCCAATTGCATCTGCAATAACAATTTTTATTCCATCAATCTCAATTGGAAGATTTGAATTAGGCCGTCTGACTCCAGCAAATTTCCCTTCTTTATCATAAAGAATAACTGACTGCAAATCACGTGCGAGCATCGATCTGGATGTTGAGCCGATACAAGGACAAAAAAGAGAATCAGAGGAGTTGACATATTGGAGAACACTAAAGAAATAAGCTAGTCAGCAAGTTGAAGATTTCTATCTACTCTCAAAATTTTGTTATTCCAGTAGGCCATCAAGATTTGGACCTGACATCAAAAGCTTATGCTTCTATAGAGATTAACAAACAAACGTATGATATTTTTAACTTTCTGGCCCTTAGATTCATCACTATGTTCTTCTCCTGAATTTTGAAAAACACTAAAAACCACATTCCTGTAGTTTGATAAACAGGTGCACCTACTACACAATAGCCTAGAAACGTCAATGAGTCCAGCAATTATCTAGATAGTGTAGTAGTTAAAGAACATACATTCCCTTAACATTGGGTGAATTATCATCCGCTACTGGTAGGAATGTACCAAACAGCTTCTTGTCCCCACCGTTCAGTTGCAGTGGTGCCATAGCCAAATTAAACGGACCTTCATCATCCTTCAGTACTTGCAATGCAGAGATACTCCAATCTGTCTGGTATATAGTGATTCCCCCATACCTTAAGGGATCATTGACACTTATAGTCTTCCTCATTACTTCCTTTCCATTAAGGTCAAATAGTGAAAGATCAGTATGGAACTGCGAGACCTACAACACATATTAAAACGAGGGGAGAAGAAGGGAGTCCTCAGCAATTTGTAGTAAGGGAAACACATTTGTCTTTCATAATCTGATTTGCATACCTCCTAACCAAATAAGAAAGGAACTGATTATGCGTACCTCTCCACTGTCATAGTAGTCCATGGAGAATCGATTGACGTGAATCTCCGTACTGAAAGCATCAGAAGGAGTGGATAGAAATCCAGATGGTGCAAGTACATCTCCAGCAACAAAATTTAAACCTTGTGGAACAGTCACAGCCCCTCTAAAGCTTCCAACTGCACTAAGAGTTCCTCCAGACATTATAAGCAGCAGGGATATATGTACACCAATTGGAGCAAATCTGCCTGCCAACCCTTTAAATGCATACAGAGCTGGCCCTTTTGAGAATACCTGAAGATACAGAGATTGTTAAAGGTTAATCCAAAAAGTCATATTTTTGAAGAAAGTAAGAAACTAAAAGATGTTTGTGAACAAGGCATTCAAGGACAAGATAAGTGAGTCGAGCAGATAAATGATTAAGAATATCACTACAGTTTCATGTTGGAGCAAATCAAAATCGTACATTCTCCATTCTGTTTATGGGATAACATGAAAAAAAATTAAAAATATTAGAACTAACAGGAAGAAAAAAAAAGCAAATGTACTCTGTCTTTAGGGCAATGCATACCAGTAAGATTTTGAGAAAAATCTCATCTCTCAGTGGGTAGAAATAAATATCTAGAGTCTCATTCCTACGACAGACCCTTAAATCTGGACGATTCAAAGCTAAACCAAGAAAGGAAACAAATCATGAAGAAAACTAGGAGAAATGTTATATTTATACCTCATATCCATCTCCCATCAGTATAACACCCAAGTCTTTAACTGATGCCCTAGGCAAAGTATCTGCATATTCTTGCTTACGAATTGTCTCTGCTGATTGTAAGAAAGACCATCTGCAGATTCGGTCAATTTCTTTTAACCCTAGTTTAGCTTAGTGAATCCAAGAAGAAAAAGAAAATAACATCTAGGTGGACTGAAAAGCAGACCTTCTTGCTACCTTCACAAGAGGAATCTGCGTTGTGTATGTGCAAGCTATCAAGGATGCTCCTAGAAGAGCCAACGTCCCCAGGAAAACTGGTGATGAGAACATATGATCAAAGCCAAGGGTGAGAACCCATCTCCAGGAGAAAAACCCCAAGGGAGGATGATCTTCAGGAAACTTTTGGAAGTAGTAATCTGGAGCCTCGCCTTGGTCAATGAAAGTTCCTTCAGAGGAACAAATAGAAATAAAACCAAGTTACCGCAAAATACTCATATTGAGCTGAACAAATAGTAAGAAGAAGTGATCAGGATGGTAGATTTAAGATGGAAAGAATAGTTTATAGTCAAATTTAACATTTGAATAAGAACACATATTGAACAATAACTTCACCATACGTTAACACAGACTTAATTCTCTGGGTCATGCTAGTTTCCCGAGGAAAAAGCTCATAGTCATGCAAAGATGGAAGGTGGAGTTGGAATGTTTTTTCTTTATATGGAATGTAAAATGGACTTGGAATCTCACAAGAACATGATATCTTTTGTGGAATCTCCAAATTGAAATCTGTTAATTCGTAACATGAATGTACCTATACTGCAGGTCTACAGCATCACTGCAACAGCTACCGCTCAAATCATTATGTCTAAAAAGTGCAAACCAAAAATCAAGAAATATCGAGAAAACTTAACTATGACGAAAGTTTATACATAGAAACCACACAAATGATTATACATATCATCAACCATAAGAATGCAGTTGGATAAATTTTCTACAGAATCAACACCAGTAGCATCATAATCATTTGTGCCTCTACCATAATATGTATATCGCACATATGCACAAATTACACAACGTTCTCAATCAATTACGCCTCAATTCCAAACTAGCTGGGATTCGCTATATATAATCCTCCACACCTGTTTTGCTTTATTCGAGCGCATTTCATTCAATTTTGGTAAATAAGTTGTTTTTTAAGACAAATAATTTTGGTAAATAAGTTATTTTTTAAGACAAATTAGTATTTCTCTAAATCTCAGAGTTATCTGTAAAGTGACATAAAGAAACATTTCAGCTGAAATTTACCTAAGGCCATTAAGGCAGCAACAGCAAACATCTCAGCAATAGCTAAAGGCAAATTGGACAAAATCCTCAAAACTTTTCTAGGCAATTTCTTCAAAAGTCCAAAACCAACAACACCATTCTTCGTCTCCTCCACCTTCCTTCCACCATTTCCTACAGACCCTTCTTCCGATTCAACAACTGGTGGCGCCACACCATCAGAACCTGGAACTGAAATCCGGCTCTTTTCCTTGCTGGGTTTGTTCCCTTTTACTGTATTGAGCTTACATGTAAGAGTAAAAGAAAAAGTACGGCCTTTGTTGCTGTAAACACCAAGAATTCGAGAATTGTGGATAAGGGGATAAGGTTTGAAATGTAAGGGAAGAATTTGGTTTTGCACAAGTGACATTTTGAGAGTCTCCATTGATGTTGGAGTTTTTGGGGGTAAAAATTTGAAGAGGTAGGAGGTTTGCTTCAGTCCATGTATGGAGGTCTAACGAGCGGGTTCGTTCGTTTATCCATAAAGATGAAAGGTGTACAACTGTAATTAAAGTAGATTTCTCGCCTAAGTGGTCCAAACTAAATAAGTGCAAAATTGTGCAGCAAACAATATTAAATGTTATAGCCATTGTTTTAAAAAAATTATCATTCCAGTTATAGTTTCTCCAAGTTTTGCTATTTGTTTAATTATAATTCGCATAAATTGTATAATTCGCCTAATTGTCTAAATTAAAATTTTGTATAATTCGGTTTCTGATGGTATAAATTCATAATTTGTATATGTTTATCCTACCTATTTGTATACGATCTATGAAAAATTCACAATAAATTTCTAAATGTATAAATACAGAATTTGTATACACTTACCCTATTTGTATATTCACAAACGAATTACACAAACGGACAAACGAAATATACAAACCACAGCTTCCATAGAAAATAGAACAATAGCTATGGAGCGCAATTATCAAAACTATAGATATAGAGCCTTATTATGTTTGCTATGTTTTCTATTTCTGGAATTTTCTCAAATAAATAATTTCTTGAAATTATTTGCAAATCAGAGTGATTTGATAATATTAGAGAAAAAAACCTAAAATAGTTCCTTATTTTTTATTTAAAACTCAAAGTCCTTATTGTAATATTGATGTACTTTTGATCCTCCCTCGTATTTGCAATATGGATATGCATATTAATCTTACAAATATATAATCGATCAATTGGTGTGATACATAAATTGTTATCCCATATAGCTAGGTCAAACTAAAATGATATTATTAACCGTGAATACACGTCATTTATTTTGGTCACGAGTTACATATTATGTTTTATTAACCATATATGCTATTTGGAAATTATTACTTTGAATTTGCATTACTCCTTATTAGGGTATTTTCTTTTTTCAAGAATTTAAAAGCTCTAATTAATAGTGAGTCTACATGGGACCGACTCAACAAGATCGGGGGCCTAAAGTCAAACCTTAAAGAGAGACCCTAGTATTTTGAGAAGTATTTTGTTTCTTTAATCTCTTTAATAATTTTATTCTTGACTTCACTTGCCAATAAGTTTAATAATTCACTTTGTATATTATGTTCAAGGTAATGACTATGAATTTCGTCATGTTTATTCTTCAAATATGTTTTTGCATAGCTGAATCAAATTTATTAATCATTTCAATTAGGCTTTAAAAATTACCGTTACTTTCTTGATAGATCTTTCCATTTGTTCCCCTAAATGCTAAATTATTTTTCCAAAGAGTTTTGATCACGTCAATAATTCTTGACAATACAT